ATAAAGGACAACAAACCCTGTATTTTGGCTGGCTTGCGCCACATATTCGCCATCTTTTCGTCACAAATTTTCACTATGATGGGAACATCAGACGCCATCTTGAAGCACGAAACAACCAATCGGCGATGAGAAATCTACCCACGTGATGTACGTTTCCAATCCAGTCTTCTACTATCCATGGTAAAGGCGAATACTAAGGAAATCTGTGAAGAAATATCCTTTCCTGCTTGTTTTTCAAAAAAATGCTGACGTCTGCTTTTTTGTTGAGATTCAAGGCTAATAGGGCATTTTCGAGTTGTCTTTTGCCTCCGTAACAAAAGGAGTCTGCGAAACCACTCATATGGAAATGTGTTCTCCTCCTGCAGGTTCATTTTCATGTGAATCAAACTTATTTTCATATGAAAGGTTTTGGACGAAGGCTCGTTTTGAAACAGATTCACCAGTTAACTCAGAAATCACCTATCATCTCGGGAAAATGCGTTGCTACCCCCAATTTTTTGTGTGAGATACAACACTATTGTCATCGGCTCGTGTCCATTAATGCAAATGAGTTGCAAAGATTGCATTGCATTCTGGATCTACGTATTCTACACATATACCCTTTGGGTATCTATTTTTTTTTGTGGATTCCAGTAGCCCTGTAAAGATCTACTTTTTTCGCATGGTCCTAATCTGGCTCAAAAACCTTTGTATTTAGGAGGCACCGTCCTTAAACAAGGTCCCTAAACGAGGTCCGTTTCATATTTTCATGACTTGGAACAATTTCCTTATCATGTTATTGTGCCCTGAATGAAAGTCCCTATCATGCTCTCATGACTAAAACAAGATGCCTATTGTCATCATTCCCCTAAATATGTCTCTAGTAAAGTTAACACACCACAAAATAAGACCTATGGTGTTCTTTTTTACCCATCCATGTTCCTGAGGAAGTCATAGTTGTTCACCTGGGTCTGTGGGATACCAAATGTCCTACTTAAGATAGTGCTTTTGTCATTTTTCAGACTATGATGAGTGCAGCAATAAAGAGTATGAGTGTCAAAGGCATACTACCTGTTTGAATACAGTTGGCTCCTACAAGTGCCAGTGTACACTGGGTTTCTTTCACAGTGGACCATATTGTATTGGTAAGGGCCAGTGCCAGCGTAGTTAATAGAGGGGACTGGTTATGAAGCCCGGCAAACATCAAAGGAGCAAACAAAGATGCCAAGAGTTTAGTTGGAAGGTCCACGACCGTGCACAATCTTTTGTTTTGCGCTCATACACTATGCATGAATTACGTAAACAACAGGTTTCTTTTGGTTAGTTCCTCAGCATGGAGTAAACAACTGTTGTGTTCACGGTCACGACCTGCTGTTGCTGTTGTGTTCACGGTCACGACTAAGAAAGAGAACAAAAACATACAACAAAGAACTTTGTCGGGTTTCATAACCATTCTCCTCTATTAACGAAGGTGCCATTGTAAACTGGGTTTCTTTCACAGTGGACGATATAGTCTCGGTGAGGGCCAGGGCCAGTGCCAGTGTAAACTGGGTCTCTTTCACGGTGGACCATATTGTATTGGTAAGGGCCAGTGCCAGTATAAAGTGGATTTCTTTCGCAGTGGACCTTTTTCTGTATCGCTAAGGGTTGTTACTGAATATTCCAACACCTTTACCTTTAAAGCTTTAAGCCATTGCACCTGTGAGCCATGGAAGCAAAGCATTTTCCACTAGACTTGTAAGCTTGAATACATCACAAGGGAGCACTGAAATGCGTACAGTACTTATTTCACAATTCTGGGCAAAAACAAAAGCACTGCGTGGAAATATAATTGCCTTCCACGGTGGTCTTTAGAGACAATAAAATGCTAATCAACAGGAACTTCTAAACAATGTCTCAAAATAACTGATATAGTACAGGTACATAATGGCACTGAGTGAGTGGGCTGTTTTTCAGTTGCATAACCTACTGGGAGCATGCAATGACCATAAGCTAATGAAAAAAAATGGTAACAAGTATTCAAAAACGAAAGATTAACTCAATGTTAAGAATGGTTAGTCTTAAGTTTTGTAAACATAGTTTTTCAGGCTCACTCCTAATCCGTTGGTCTTCGTTGGAATGTGCTCTTGAGATAAAACAGAGAATTACTTACGTAAATCTTTTCTGTACTTTCACATCGGATGTAAAAGTTTAACTTGCTGGATGCTGGAACCACACACGTGGATTCGGAAATTGAATTAATATATAGATTTAGTCAAGGCTAAAAGCGGAACTCCTGGGCCGGGTTGTTTAAAGCCCGATTAAGCTAACCCAGGATAAGTAAGAATTTTGATTTGAGTTTAGTAACTTTACGGTGAGGTTTTTTGTTTATGTTGTTTGGCCTTCTGGTTTGTCCTTCTGGTTTGTCCTCAAAATAACAAGCAGTGAAAAACATTTGTATACAAGAAAAAATTATACTTTGGTTAACTTTTATAATCCTGGGTTAGCGTTAACTGGCTTGCAAACAACTTGGCCCTGTTTACAACAAGTTAACATGACATGAGCCTGCGATCCAATCGAACACCTACACTTGGTCAGGCGTCAACTTTAAAACAACACGTGATGTCGATGAGTTCTAAACTTGATCCCGCGATATGGTCACATGATACTGGTCAGCGGATACCTTGTTTTGGCAGGTGTCAATTGATCATAACATGGATGTCCAATATCAAAGAAGGACGCTATAAATCAAGGGTGTATGTCTCTGTCAACCTATTATCTGGAGTATGGCCGCCATCTTGCGCGACTCCGTCGCCGCCGTCGTCGTCGTTGTGCGTACGCGCCCACGAGCAATACCGCTAGCCATGATAACCATGAGAAAATCAATGCATGGGTTTCCTTTTCTTTCCTATTCGGGTATGGGGCTCCGTTTGGCGGCCTTTGGGACCGCCGGAGCTCCGCTAAAACCCATGGGAGCTAACTTGGCCATCTCGTTTTCCAGTTTCAGCGATGTATTATATTTTGTTTCTTGTCACCAGATTTGAACGAGTGTCTGGGTAAACAACACAATTGTGACGTCAATGCATGGTGTATAAACACCGCTGGCTCGTATAGGTGTTTCTGTAAAAAGGGGTATCGTGGAGACGGCATCAAGTGTGTGAAACAAGGTAAACACCATGTGTGGTGCTACAATAAGGATAGTTCTAAGAATTTTCACAGTCAGTTACATTTGAAAATTTGCTGAAAATTCCACAAACCTTTACTCAGGCCGATTGCAATATAACTGAAAGAATTTTAAAGTTTCACGAGTAGTGTAAATCCTTAATTTCTAGAGTTTTCGTTTGTTATATGACTGAGAAAATTACTAACGCGCGCGTATTAATCTGCACTGAGATTAATGGTTGATTTGCCTGCTCTCAGTCAATCACAATGAAACAATTGTCTCCTTTATATAATAAATAGTACAGTATTGGTATATACAATTGAACTGAATGACCAATTACTAACTTTCATTCAGTGACCCTCTAGGTACCTTTATGGTATAATTTATAGATCCTAGTCGTTTTGGGCTGTTTCATTGCTACACGGCTCACGTTCTAACTCGCCTCGCAACTGTCAAGTGTTGCTACCGAGAGCATTCCCGGAATTGACATCTTACGGTAGTCTTGTTTTCAATCTGTAGCCTAATGAAGATGACTATAAGAATAGTAATTTTGAACACAACACTGTGATGATATTACTTCACTTGGCCAGAGCAAGAATATGGGAACTAGGTAAACAAACTACCTTGGGAAACTGATTATATGAATGCAGGAAATAGCCCCTTTTGGTACGGTGGATGTCTGGTACAAAACGCTATCACTCACTCAGTCACGGGAAAGACAGGACAAGAATGGCTAATAACAGCAATAACAAGAAAAACGGAGCGAGTAATGCGATAAAACGCTTTTATGATTCTGTACGTGCCCCCCCCCCCCCCCCCTCCATTTTCCCCTTCTTTTAGCTTATTCTGCAGTCTTTTTCCCCCAAGATGACGTGACGAGTCAAAAATGTATGTGTGTCCGTCCGTAAGGACGTAACTGAATATCTTCAAACGTCACGCCATTCATAACAACAAAAGTATTCCAATAACTTGTCACGCACACTTAAAGGGCTTGGTAATCGTAGCTTGCACCTGTTACGTGAGCGAGCCGAACAGTATATCAAAACTTGTATTGAAGAGACTCGTATAACTTAATTAACCTACCAACTGTACTTCACTGTTCTTTTCACAGAAACGCCTTACTGTGAGGCAGAAGATGAAAACTGTGAAAGGTAGATACAGGCTACATAGCAAATACAGAAAGTGCTAACAAGCAATTATTTGTAGCAAGCGTGGCTGAATAGGAAGAGAATCCGGTGCTATGCAGCTGCAAGGTCCCCCAACGAAAACTCTGACTCGTACAGACACGCAGGAGAAAAATCTATCTCCATGTACACGACAAAAAACGAGAGAAAAGAGATCATTAATAATCAAACAAACATTTTATCGGCACTTTAATGTCGTTGACAAACGCCCAGAGCAGTTGCCGTCGTGAAAGTGTCAGGGAGCTTAAGCAATGACGACGGCGACACCAAGGACAACGGCTGGAAAAAAGTGAATTTAAATTTTACCTTTTAAATTCGCAATTTACTAGAACTGTTCAGAACGCCGAGTGGTCTAAATTCCTACTTAAAGTAAAGATGTTACGCCAGCGATTAATTCCAGAAGAATATACGAAAAATTACCCGTCGTGGCTCGCGTTCTTCGAAATACCCAGAACTGGGTCATTTCACGTTGCTGTTTTGCAGAGGACGGCAGAGAAATGTACAAAGATATATAACGCACGTGCGCAGCCATTGTTCTGCTCGATAAAGCTTTGTTTGGTGAAGTTCTCGTTGCCGTCGTGGTTTGCTTAAGCTCCCTTGTAACGTAATTTATCAGTGGTGTGATACGTTTTGTGTAACATAACATGGCAGGAACATTATGTGGCAAAGCACTTTTAACAAAGCTGTAGTCGTGTTTCTGCTTTTAATGGAACTTCACTTAAACTTCACCTTTTGGTTATGTTGTCATAAGATAAAAGAAAGAACTCGAAAAATGTCGCGTTCTTACGTGATGTACTTGTTTCTAGACTGTTTTGAAACCTTCAGTGGTGCCTGCCTTGAGAGAGTTTGTCCTTGATGGTTCTTAAATGTCAATAGTTATCCTTCGTTGTCCGTATTGTCCTTAACTCTCTTTAGCTGATCTTACCCTTTCTTAGTTTACCTTCAGTGCTTTGTGTCCTTAGTTTTTTTCCGGTCAGTTGTCCTAGCGAAATGTGATGTTTGAATAGGCCATATTCGTATTCTCGGTATTGGACTGGAACTAGCTTGCAATGGAGGCTTAAGAGAAGGAATATCATTAAAAATAGCTAAGATTTCATTCGCGTTGGACATCAGCCTCAGTTCCAAGCTAGTTCCAGTCTTATACCGAGAAAACGAATATGACCTGAGACCACTAACTGCAGAACTTTGAGACTACTTGGAACCAGTAAGAAACGCTGGGTTTAACACAGGACCACATGGTTCAACGCAGATGCGGGAAATTCGTTTTCCCAACAGTTTATCGATGACGGGGTTCCGAAAAGTCGCGACAATTGCAACAGAATTGTTCGAGGGGCACTTTCCGTTTTGAAAACGCTTTCCGTTTCGAAAAATTACATGAAAAAAAAAGGACCTAAGAAGGTATCTCGTTTTCCCGGATGGAACGTTCCATATGTTTTTTTACTGTATATTGTTGTTTTTTGTTCTGCAATATGCGACTTTTTTCACTATCGTCAAAAAAAAATGCGAAACCTGTTTGTTATGTTTGTAACCGCTGTTTGTTTCTCTTTCTCCTGAAATTGAAATGGCCGAAAAACAAGAATTTTTATGGTGTTAATTACTAAGCACAGAAATTTGTTCAGGAATTTGCCAAGTATTTTTGACAAGTAGGGAATTTATGAGTCTTTTTAGAGCTTACCAAGACGAAAAATACCTCCCGTGCTCCTGTAATAGTTATCGAGTTTATGTCCTTGGGCATAAATATGTTCTGGGCCCTTCTCAGAGCTCATTTTAATCTTCGCCTAGCGGCTTGGGCTAAACTGAGTCTGAGTCGGGCCCAAAACATATTTATGGCCGCGAACATAAACTCTATTGTTATACCTCCCAACTCAAATACGTTTTCCGATTGGAGGAGAACGTGTCACGTGTCGTGGGTCACAACTCACTAGCTCCATAGGGCGAACAAAACTCACCAACTTCCTAGGGAAACAACAACTTGAACTTTCGACTCGCCCGTGATCAGGTCGTGCTCCTTGAAGCTGCGGCAAATTTGTGAGCCAGCCGGCGTCAAGCAAACGATTTCCTCGCAGTTTTTTTTCCTCTGTTTTTGAGTTGGGAGGATGGAACGTTGGACTTCAACATTGAGGGTCTCGGGGATACAAAACTCCCTGTTTCCCACGGGACTAGTCATTAAGTGCGTATTGTTTTATTTTTGTGACGTCACAAATTATCACCAGTCTGCGCAACCTCGTTCCCAGGGTCTCTCTTCTCTGCCTCTCTTGGTCGTTGGAAGAGACACCCTGGTTGCGGCTGGTCACGTGACAACCTGTGACACAAACACTGCCACCGGGGTAGAGTCAACGAATAATTTTTGACGATCTCAACTGAAGCGAAAGAAAGGTTATCGCTAACCACACACTTACGGGCAAATACACCTTTGATATTCTCCAGCTCTATTGTAAGTTTCACACAGGTCAGACGAAATATATTTATATATATCCGGCATTGAAGTATCACCCTGATTTCAATTTCAGTCAGTCGATTTAAGTAGAACTGTTGGCTGTTTCATGTTGCCTGAATTAACCTCACGGCACATTGTTCGCTAAATAAAACATTGTTTTATTTACCACGTTGCAAAATGTAATTGTTGACTATGAACCGTGTTTCAACATCTGTCTAAATATAAACTTACATAAACCTTTTGCAGATGAAATATAAGTGCGTGCTTATGTCAGCAAAACTGAATCATTTTGCACTGCTGTAAATCAAATGCAATGCGTAGGGCAGGTAGGTTTTGCAGGTTGCAGGTTGAAAAATCGACTTTTAAGTCGGAGTGAGTCTACTTAGCACTCCGGTTAGCCTAGATTACCTTAGTTTGCTTGCGGTATAGTAAGCCTTTATACCGTTTATACTGGGGTCTATTCGACTTCAGCTCAAATAAACAAGCCGTTTCAACCTGCAACCTGCATTCTGCAAAATAGGGTAACCCAAAAACACTGCCCCCTGGTCCGCGGACCCCCACTACGGATAGGGTCCGCGGACTACCCTAATGGACCGGCCCACGGACTACCCCTATGGACGCCCTCTATGGACAACCCCCAAAACAGAATAAGGTTATGGTTGTCTAATAGATTACTCGTGTCGGTGAAATTTCGAGTGTTGCGGGGTGCAAATGTAACAGACTTCGGGTTTTTAAAACCCGAAAATAATGTTTAAATTTGCTGTTTTCGGCCTAAGGAGATGTCGATGGCGAAAAGAAGGAAAGTTGTTACCTTCATTCGTGGCTCAATCTGGCTACGAAATATGTGTAAATCCACTTTCCCTTTCGGAATATATCGCCTTCAAGGCATGGTAAGCAAGTTGTAAGTAAGTCTGGCACGAGAGAATGAGCTGAACCATAGTTAGTAACTATGGCTGAACAAAATGGCGGAGGGGAAGGAGCACAAATTTCGAGGCTTCCTGGTCTTTCATATATAGCCACAGTAAAGGAAATGGCAATGTGCAATGATAAAACTTGCGTCCGAGCCTGAACCGAAGTCTGTTTCATTTGCGCAACGTAACGTTGAAAAGCTTGCCTTCAGGTATAGTCTAACAGACAACCCGAAAGTGAAATCTATATTTAATATTATTTGTATTCTATTTTGGGGGTGGTCCGTAGAAGGCGTCCGTAGGGTAGTCCGTAGCCCCGGTCCGTAATGGGGGTCCGCGGACCGAGGACCAGTGTTTTCGGGTTATCCTGCGAAATATACCTGCGGCAATCCTTAAGTCAGAATACTTATATGGTCGTCCATTTGTTTCAATATTCGCTAAATCTAATTTGCTGTCGCTAAACTTAATTCGCTGTCGCTAAGTTTCAATTCGCTGTCGCTAAATTCCATTTGCTGCCGCTAAAAATAAATTTGCATTCGCTAAATTTCATTCGCTGTCGCTAAACTTAATTCGCATTCGCTAAATTTCATTCGCTGTCGCTAAACTCAATTCGCTGTCGCTAAATTTTATTCGCTGTCGCTAAACTTAATTCGCTGTCGCTAAACTTCTCTCGCTATCGCTAAATTTTATTCGCTGTCGCTTAAGTTAACTCGCATTCACTAAATTGCATTCGCTCTCGCTAAAATCTAATTGTTATTAGAAACTGATTGGTATTCGCTAAATTTCATTCGCGGTTGCTAAAAACTAATTCGCATTCGCTAAATGTTATTCGCGGTCGCTAAAGTTAATTCGTATTCGCTAAATTTCATTCGCTGTCGCTAAAACTTATTGAGATTTATGCGCTAGATAGACCCCGATAGAAAAGTTGTCCTTTTCCCAGGCTAGCGGGTTTAATACCAATCGCCAAAGATGGCGGCCCGGCGGTTAATAGCTTAACTTTTACTTTTGTTTCTGTGCGTATACAAAGCGTAGCAGTTCCTCCAGGCTTTAATGACTTTCTTGAGTCAATTGAAGAATTACTGAGTGACACTGAACGTTTGATGAACACTAACAATCCCACCGTTGTAGACAGCATAGTTGGCAGATTGCAATGTGCTGTCGATACTACTTATCAGCTTCTTCTACGAGTGGACGATAATGCAGCCACAAGGGATCTGTCAACGCTCTACCAGGAATTACTTGCTATTTTGGAGAGATGGGAAAACCGAGGAAGGCACATGAGTCACTGCTGTGCAGTTGCGCCTATGGAAAACTGTAGGGGGTCCTCTTCGGGCATGAATTTGGCACAGGTAGGAAGACCTCGAATAGATGTGAGTGGTGAACAGACGGAATGCCTCAGGGGCCTTGGATTCACTTGGGCTATTATTGCAGTTATGCTTAGTCTCTCAAGAACATCACTTTGGCGTAAATGTCGCGAGCTTGGTATTTGCGATCGACAATACACTGATATCAATGACTGATTTAGACGAGGTCATGCGTGATTTGGTAACATCCTATCCAAACTCTGGCCGTACCATACTTCGAGGGCACCGAAGGAGACTAGGCATACATGTTCAACGTGAAAGGGCCCGTTTGTCAATGATTCGTGTTGACCTTGTAAATGTCTGCATGAGAAGAATGAGGGTAATCCGCCGTCGCACTTACAGTGTTTCGGGTCCAAACGCCCTTTGGGATATTGATGGCCATTATAGCTGAATCCGATGGAGGATTGTGATACACGGGGCTATCGATGGTTACTCCAGACTTATAACATATATGCATTGCTCTGCTAACAATCGAGCAAGTACCGTTTTTGCACTGTTCCTGTCAGCGACAGCTCGCTACGGCATCCCATCGCGCGTAAGGTCAGACAGAGGAAGCGAAAACGTGGACGTTGCGAGATATATGATAGAAGTGTGCGGGCTCGACCGAGGCAGTCATATTGCCGGTCTTAGTGTTCATAACCAACGAATAGAAAGACTATGGCGAGAAGTAGTTGTTCATGTTTTACAACTCTACTATATTCTATTTTCTTGAAGATAACTTTGAGCTCGACTGTTTGTCTGATATAGATTTGTTTGCAGTGCACTATGTTTTCGTACCAATCATCAACAGGGCTGTAGCTGCATTTGTTGAAGCTTACAATCGCCATGATCTCCGCACCGAACACAGGTGGACACCTTTAATGATATGGACCAATGGCATCATTTCCTCGTCACATGCAAGGGACACCGCCGTACAAGATTTTGTCAATGGTAATATAGACTCGTTTGGAGAAGATCCAGAGAGACCCGAATCTAATGAATTCGATCAGGGTGACATACAAATTCCGATCACAGAGGTATATCTCAGTGAGGAAGGCCTTCAACAGTTACATCTGGAGGACCCTCTTCAGTCGAGTCCCAACTATGGAATTTATGTATATCTTCGAGTGCGTGATCTAATTAGAAGGCTTGCAACTCGTGATAGTTAGGCTACCATATATCGTGCCCGTA